TAATTTTTCAAGGTGCGACAAATACATGTTGGGATATCAATTAAAATTATAAAAACTAGCAAGAGATGGAGCCACCTTTTCCAAATCATTAAAATTTTCATTAGCTTGTCTTATAATGAACTTAACATGAGAGTTCATAAAATAATGGGCTAGTAAGCGTTTACATTCCTTTATGATCTTGCCAAACTCTGACAAATTTTGTTGTTGGCTATTCACATCATCCGCTACGCTTTTTGAATCTACCTCAAAATTCACTCCATCCAAACCGAGCTCATGCACCCATTTGATGGCAGCTAGAAAGCCTAAAGCCTCCCCCATATCAACCTCGATAATTGGTAACATCCACTACATTCGAGCTACCGCAAATTGTCCCTCTTCATCTCAAAATAAATACCGATATCGATCTTGTTTAAAGTTGTTGAGAAAGATGCATCTATGTTACATTTGAAATGACCTGCAAGAGGCTTTCTCCATGTATTGTTCATATGGGTTTCATTTTGGATAGATCTAATCGCATGGAGATATTGAGCATTTCTTCATCCTAATAGCATATAAGAGGCACGATTACAAATAATTTCCACTGACTCTTCAATATGATTATGAATATGATTATTCCAACCTTTCCAAGTACTCCAAATAATAGTTGATACCAAAGCTTGTCGGGCTTAACTTATTTCCTGCAAAAGAGGCAAAATGATATATTTGAATGAGATATTATCTCTCGCCACATGTCAAATAATATGCCATAATCTCATTAGCACACAATATCATTTGGTATTGTGTACGTGCTTTAAGTATCATTTATGTGTTGATGTTTTATAATTCAATTATTGTTTCAATGTGTATTTGTAATTTGTATATTATCTAAATTTATTTGTGATTGTAATATTCTTTCCATTTGATTGTAATCACTTCGGCTACTAAATTCTACCACTAAGAACCTTTTACATTTCATGTTATATTTATTTGATCCTGGTTGACAACTCCTTTTTTAGCCTATGAAAATTACTATTTGGTCATTTCCATATGAGTAGCTTGAATCACAAGTTAGAATATTTGAATTTTAATGATTTGATATTTGATTTGAATCATGTGTTATATTTGATTCGAATCAATCATCTATTGAAAATTGGGAAACCATTATGGATCAAATGATTCAGATCAAAAATTGAACATGATTCAAATCATAACCTCATTTGGTTTGAATCAAGTGCAAATAATGATTAATATCAGTAGCTTTAAAAAGCGCCCTTTTTGCACTGTCCAGATTAATTTGAATCACAAATCCTTCTTGATTCAAAGCAAACCTTCAAAAATCCAATTTTTCATCACTTATTTAAATGATTGTTTCTTATGGTGAAAGTAACAATTGTGGGAAACCTATTGTGATCCACAGAGACAAAAATTGTAATTTTTGTCTTCTCTTCTTACTGTGTTCATCTTTACATTATTTTTCTCTCTTCTTTTCCAAACACCAACCTTTAGATATTACACCCATGTCAATTCTTTATCTTTTTTGTTGCATCTTGTTTTGTGCAATTTGGCCGTTGTTCTTATGTGGATTTGAGAATGAGTTGATCAATCTTGTTGAAAATTGATCAAGCTCTTGATAACAATAAAGACCAAGATCTACATATCTAGAAACTTGATTAAACCTTGTGCGTGTTCATCACTCACCAAAACTAATTTACTTTAATAATCGCTTGTGATGTCAGTAGTTATTGAGATTACTTGGAACTGTTCACCATCTTCATCCTTAAACTACTACGAAAAACACATATAATAATGCCTACATTACTACAGATATTCAATCAACCGTCGTAATATGTGATATTAAGGTGCATTCATTTTTTTATATTTTATTTAACCACCTATGACCATGGTTTTTTTAATACCCGTGGTAAAAAGTGGCGTATGGTCATGGGTTCAAATTCCAACACCAACATTTTTGGTAATTTACTTATTTTTTTAAAATGCTGACAGACCTTTCACCATAGGTATTTAAATCAACCATGGTTATAGGCTGCGCCTTTTTTTTTTTAAGATATATATAACGCTCTTAGTTCATTTACTTTTTCCCTAGACGTACTTATACAAACTTCATCTTCTTCCTCCAAACTTCTTCCATTTACGAAACATTATTCATCCATTAAATCAAACTTATAAAATATCATTTCTTTCACAAACGAAACTCAGAAATATTGCTTCCATTAACGTGTTACAGTTCGTTCCTGTTTAACGGTTCTACAGGTGAAATGTTATTTTTTAAAGATTCTATTTTTTTATTTATTTATTGTTGTTTGTGTTGTTTTTGGTGTTGTTGTCGTTGTTGTTGTTGTTGTTGTTGTTGTTTTTGTTGTTGTTGTTTTTGTTTTTGTTGTTGTTTTTATTGTTATTGTTGTTGCTATTTTTCTTGTTATTCTTGTTGTTGCTCTTGTTGTTCTTGTTGTTATTCTTATTTTTGTTCTTGTTGTTATTCTTGCTGTTGTTATTGTTCTTGTTATTCTTGTAGTTCTTCTTGTTATTGTTGTTATTGTTCTTGTTGTTCTTGTTGTTGCTCTTATTGTTAATCTTATTTTTTTTCTTGTTGGCATTATTGTTCTTGTTGTTCTTGTTATTGTTCTTGTTGTTCTTGTCATTCTTGTTGTTGTTTTTGTTGTTCTTGGTGTTCTTGTTGTTATTGTTATTGTTGTTGTTCTCGTTCTTCTTGTTATTGTTTTTATTATTCGTTTTAATCTTGTTGTTCTTGATGTTGTTGTGTTAAAATGTTTAATATTGTATATTGTGATGAAATTTATAAATGTAGTCAGGTAAAACATGTGGTTAAAATTTAAAAAAAAAATACTGACAGACCTTTCATAACGGGTATTTAAAACAACTGTGATTATAGGTAGCACACTTTTTAGTTTTTTACAACGGTCATACGACCATGGTTGTAAGTAGCACATATACAACCACACGCTATGTAACAACGGCCGATCCTGCGTGATAATACATTTTTTTAACCGTTGTTGTATGTGTTGTTTTAGTAGTGTTAGTCTTTTTCTTTGTTATTGGACCCTCCTCTAAAGAATAAGTGTAAGGGACACTAGTGGTACATTAGGGTGTCTAACGTTTTATGTCCAACTTGTTTTTTATTGTAATAGGTGCATGCATCATTTCTTGAGTGCAGTTTGGCATTGAGAGTTATCTAACTAGATGAGAGATTCCATTATATTCCAAGGTAGACTTTGGAAAGATCAAGTTTCAACAGTTTGTAAGGCGGAGTAGGAAGTTGTTCTTCTTTGGTGACGTTGGAGAAAGATTTCTTGCAAACAAAGTTTGACGTTGTCCAATATACGCTCAGTTAATGGTAATCGCTCGGACAAGAAATTGGTGGGATCAATGGGATCACCACAGACGAATATTTTGAGCAAGATATAATGGATAACAAGGCTATTGGATCAAGATCTTGTATTTTGTTAACATTTTAACGCCTGCATCATCAGAGGGAATTATCGTGTGATAGTTCTTTGTAATCAAAATGTTGTAAACATTTTATCATTATAGTGGAAGACCATGATTATATTCTGATGACATCATCCATTGAATATACATGTAGGTAAAGCGAGGATGAATGTCGAAGCACTATATATCTCTTTGTATCTTTCCCATTCCCAATCCTTTTACTTTACAAGTGTTTACTCATTCATTCATATTTGTTGTTGCATATTTATAATATTGCGTTGATTGTATACCATCTAGGTTAATGATTTAACGTATAAACTTAGATTTGTGGTGTATCAATCTTAAGGAATCATCATGAAGTCAATTATGCATTATTAATAAAAGTAATGTGTTTTTAAATTGCTTCATTTAAAGCGGCTTTAATTGACTTGTAAGTGAAATGAACTAGAAGCAATCAACCTCATGGTAACTTCATGTACCATTTCATATGGATTGATTCACTCATATGCTTCCAAGCTCTCTCATTTTGTGTTTTGCTTCCATACTTCTTAAAATCTCCAATTTCGTTTTATGAAACATAAACGTTTTTTAAATTGTCTAAAGGAATTTTGGGTCTATTCAAACCCCCCCCCCCCCCTTCTAGACAGTGTTGTTTCCATATTCTCACCCAACAAAAATTTGTTCCTCGTTAGGGGCGGGGGAACAATTATTAGTCTCGAACGGGTTTGGGGGCGAAGGCGGAGATGGTTCTGGAAGGCGAGGCGGGGTAGGTAATGCTTAAAATTGCCCTTACTACTCCGCCTTGCTGCCATGCCTAAGTCGAATAAGAGAAATAACGCATAAATTAAAAATAATGATAAATAAAATTACACACATATCAAATTTAAACAGAACATCAAAATAAAAAATGATATTGAGTGCAATTTCAGATCTCTTTCTCCAAACATAGATAGTTTTAGATCACCTAGATAAACAAATTGGTTATACTTTTATTTAATTTGATTTTATGTTTGCTACACATAAAACTTGTTAGTAATGCTGAAAACTATTTAATTATTAGAAGTGATTGTTATTGGCTCAGTTGGTTTCAAAATGGTTTGGAATTGGCAACAAAGTTAATACAAACAAGTTTGTAGTTATGTTTTATAACTTTAAGGTAAAATTGTTGTGTTCCAGTTAGTCTTTCTTTTAAAATTGTATTGCTCAAATTTAGAATAAGTTATATATAATAAATGATAATACTTGATTGAGACAATATAAGTTAAGTGAAAGGGGGAAGAAAATATTGCACATTGATAACAATTCATCAAACTCATAAACAGTTCAACAATAGATTATTAAAACACTCAAACAACACTATGCTTCATGACCTATGGAACCAAAAGAAACACCCATGCATGAATCATAGTAATCTCTAGGTGATGGGCAGCATTTTTATTCAAATTATAATATAAGAAGGAATATTTGCCTTAGGTAACAAAACTCCCATTAAAGCCACACAAAATAACACGTACGAAATTATCATAAAACCAAACTCGTCACAATTCATGAACTTAGATAGGAAATGCCTCGATGATAGATGGAAGAGCATTGATTTTGATGATGTTGTAACGAGAGAATCCCGTCTCTTTGAATAGGTATTTCCAGTTCTCTTCAGTCCTTTCCTTACCACCAGCATTATGTGCAAGAAGCAACATGTCAAATGCTATGCCAACGTCGGTAAACGGTTCAGCTCCTTCCGGGTCCAAAACATGATCCACAATAATCACCTTTCCTGTTTTCTCTGGTATTGCCTTCCTACAATTCTTCAATATCTTTATGCAATGGTCGTCGCTCCAGTCATGAAGAATCCACTGTCATTGACTCAAACATGTTCATTATTATTCTAGTTCAAAAAGTGTTAGCATGATAATTAAAATTTGTGTATACTTAGAGTTATACCTTCATGTAAATAACATCAGCACTAGGAACAGAAACAAACATGTCTCCTTCAACATGGGTGATACCATCATATTGAGGTGCAGTTGAAATAACATGAGGTAAATCAAAGTTAATAGCTTGAATATGAGGATAAGCTCTAACAATCTCAGAGAGAGATCCACCAATACCACCACCCACATCAACCAAAGACTGAATTTGGTTAAACCCGTCTTTGTAACCTGCAATAACAGCCCTAGACATGACCCTAGCAGTGCACACCATACCTTGGTTAAACAAGTCATTGTATTTTAAGTCCAAACCCGTCATTTCAAATTGTTCATGACCATGACACCTAAAGAAAGCAGTTCCATTTTTGGTTCCTTCTCTTACAATTTCATTGATATAGTTAGCAGGGTTCAGATGAAAAGGGTGATTCTCTAGCAACAACATAGGTGCCAATGTCATCTTTGTGTCTTGTAGGATCCATTTTGATGCGCGTGTTAAACCATATAGAATCTCTCCGGTTTCAGATTTTTCTGCACTGAAAATTTTTCTACGAACCATGACTCTCATTACTCTTAAGAGTAGAGAGGAATCTGGAGAGGGTGCATCTTCAAGATTTTGCACAATTTGTGATAGGAAAATTGGTTTACCATATCTATCAATTATGTCAGCTATGCGTAGCTCAACAACAGCTTTTAGAGCAAATGAATCTGTGAATTGTGTCATGTATTTCCATATTTCAATTTGTCCAAGTAGTGATTCTTCCTCTTCTTTACTCACACCCTGATCAATAAAAAATGTACCATTAATATAGGAAGGAATAAAATCTAAGTTTATTATATAAATTTAGAAAATAATATAAAATTTATTTCTAATTCTTAGTTTGTTTTTTTCATGACTCTTAGTTTGATTTTATTCATAAATGATAATAATCATTAAAATCAATAAGATCTCTCTTTGTTATAGTTTGTTCCTTTTTAGAAGTATTTTTAACGGTTTTTCAAGAAACTAAAAATATGATCAAAGTTTATAAACTAAAAATACGTATATATTATGAAACTAGTTTAAAGATTAACTTTACTATTATTTGTAAATTTTAATAAAATGGTATATCTGTTTCTTCATTTTTTTTATTGCTATGAAAGTTACTATTTTACAAATATTGGTAAGTAAGGGTTCACTTTGTGAGGTTATTGTTAGACAAAAGTTTGCTTAAATCATTGGAGTAAAGAAAATTAATTGAAATATTAAATTTTTAAGTTTATTTCTAATATAGAAAAATAATATTTATATACAAGTATGAGTATTTAGTAAATATTGCAGAAGAAAAAATATACAATTAAAATATATATTAAAAAAATACTTAATGCACTTTAAAATTCAAAGTTAATTTTATAAAAAGCTACAAAAATAAATCCAAGAGGAGGTTTTTCGAGCAAGATTATTCTTCTCAATGGTAAACATAATGATATATGGCAAAATTCTTCTTTAAAAAAATTTAATTTTATGAGAACGATCTGTTAGAAAAGAACTTTGTCATATCATCAAATACTATTAAATATCTAAAAACTAATTTTGATTGATAATTTTAAAAATAATTTTAATTTATATCATTACCTTAAACAACTACCAAATTACTTAATATTTTAAAATAAAAATGCCTAAACATTTATGATCTCATTATTTCCAAAATAATAAAGTTATATATGTCTCACTTTTAAAAACTGGTGTTTTGATCTTTCAATTTTAATTTGTTTTGAAATTTTCCAAACACATATCACTTGGGAGCATTTTCTATGACATGACTCAAAATTAGGGTTAAAATAGTTCAGAAGAACATGGACCTTTGTACATAAACTCAGGTTCGATTACTTTTTTTTAATAGAAGAGTTATAGATTTTTTATAAGTCGATTTAATTAAAAGATTAGGTTTCAGAGTATAAAAAATAAACATTTTAAGCCTATCAACCGGCTTAGTAAATTAATATAAATAATATTTTATCATAATTATGTTATATTTTATACTTTAAATTAAAATATATAAATAAAAATTAATTATTTTAAAAATTTTATAAAAATAAAATAAAAATATTTTATGAATAATGTTATAAACATTTTATAAATTTTTTTCGTATCTGGCCTTGGAAAGTTACTTTCATAAATTTTTTTAAACAAATAATCTCATAAAACTTGTACTAATATGTAAATTAAAATAAGTCAATGAAATTGATCTATCAAATTGTAGTATATTTAAATATTATTTTGTGCAATGTCCATATAATCAGGTAATCACCATATAAGTATAGCCATTTATGATCCTTAACTATTTTTTAATTAAGTTTTGCTTAAACAAATGACCAATCAAGATTTATTGGTAGACCTTATTTACATGAAGATATCAACAGTTTTAGTTAACTACAGAAACCTCGTCATTCTTAACACAAATTATAGTTGCATAATCTGAAAAATAAACTCAATGAATTTAATGTATCAATTACAGCCACAGCTTATATATGCCAAAAGAATACTATTATTTTTTTTAATCATATATGAACGTAATACTAAGCACAAAATAAAATCTATTGATCATTTGCTAAACAATGAAAATACTAAAATGATCATTTGGCAGCGGCTCTAATTTGGATATTTAATGCAATTTTTTATATATAAATAAAAAAAAAATATTAAAATGATCAAGTGATGCATGAATCATATAGCCTGTTATCAGTGTTATTATAGTAAGATTAGTTATTTGATGTTAATGATTAAAGTGTGTTAATTTAATTTTATATGTATCAATATCTACGCACCTTGAAAGCAGAAGAAGGTGGGGAGTGATTGGAAAGAACTGTCTCCATTGTTTCAAGTGAATAAAGAAAGCCTTTACTTTGGTTACAGCAAGGCTTTCAATGAGTTACTGCAGTGTGTGAAATGAATCTCTTAAGTTGCAAAATCGATGGGTTTATAAAGACCATGAGGTAACATGGTTGATTGCTAAAGTTTGAAAACGTGGCACGTCTTGTGTGGTTTTTTTTAAGTAGGTTAAAAGACTGAATTTGAACTCGCTCCCGAACGTCCTATATTAGAATTGTTAAAATAGATTATTAGACTCAAATTATTTAAAAAGAAAATGATTTCAAAAACTATTATCTAAATTTGATTCTATACGAGCTTCATGCTACTCAACTTTAAAAGGACTATTCTTTAAAATTATTTTTTATATAAAAATTAAAATAAAATCCCATCATATTTATAATAAATACAATAAAAATATATTATTTTAAATATAATATATTTTAAAATATTACATCATTTTTTATAATATAATAAGACATTTTTAAATACAATACATATTTAAATTCTATAAAATAATAATTAAATTTTGGGTAATGTTAACTTGTGCCCTTGGAACACAAGTTAAGAGATAAATATAAAAAACCATTCTTGAAAATTGTGTAATAAATTTAATACAGTTTTATAATTAATAATTTTATTATTTTGTTGCATATATATTTTTTATTTGTGTGTTTTTTAACATGTGCCTCCAGGACATAAGTTAACATTATCCTTAAATTTTTAGTCTAACAAAAACTAATATAAATAAATTGTGAAAGAAAACACAATAATTTACTATTAACTTGATTTTAATAATCTATAATACTTAAAAAAGAAAAATCGAATAAATAGAGATAAAAGTAAAATAAGAAAAAATTGATGTGTTGTTTTAAAGTAAAACATTATAAATATTAATGTAATTTTGAAAAAAAATTATAATTATGCAGATTTAATGACCTATCGTAATCCATACAAATTATTAAATTGTCTTTAATAATGAGCAGGTTTTTTAAGGCCGGATTAAAAAGATTTAAAATATATAAAAATTCAAACGCTATGATTTTTCGAGTTTAAAAGGCGAACTCATATAAATTATTTCATTTTAACTGCTCTACTTTATATAACTATTCATTGAACTTTTAGATTAAGAGCCGCTGATTGTTTTGCTCATAACTTAAATCATGTTATTATTAAAAAGTGTGGTATAAAAATGCTTGGTGTAATCATAATCATTTAAGCAGGAGAAATGATATTTTTACATTTAGGACGACACTTACACCGTAGTTGTATACGGTTTTGTTTTTTAATAATCTTTACAGGATTGCTATGTTGACATCCATTTTTCTACATCCTACACCTCAATTACTGTTCACAAATACTTGAATAAATTCCCCAGAACATGGTTAATAGTGTGTATTTTATTGGTTAATGAAGTAGTGAAAGTGGTTAATAAATTAAAGGTAAAATAATTGGCTAATAATGTAGATTTTTGTGGTTAATGCAACTGTGAAGTTGATTAATGTGCAATCTTATATTTGTGTTATAAAATAAATTTTAAAAATAAATATTTTTTTAAAAAAAATATATTATTTTAATAAAAAAAACACTGTTCACCGTATAAATACGGTGAATAGTGCATACGGTGTAATTGGGTGTAAAAAATGGTGTAGGAATAGTATTTTTCTAATCTTTAATAATTATTTTATTATTTTTTCTCACACCCACCAACTCTTGTACATGCTGTATACTTTACGGTGTAAGTGTAACATGTTTAATTTTTGGTGTAGAAATAGCACCCTTCTTTAAAGTATATGTTCATATTACCACTACAACAGTTTGGTACTGCAGTACAACATGTAACATGATTTCATTTCATTATGCTAAGATTTTAGAAAACTACTTAATCGAGTTTTAATCAACTAACAAACAACATTGATGTTGATATAGTCATATTCAAAAGAAATTATGTAGGATATTGAAGAAGTAATTGTACAAGTGAAGTTTAACAATTAATAACATAAGTGAATATATAAGTAATGACAAACTTGTGGTCACATCTTCAATTTTCTTTCATGTACATGTGTCTCATAAACCTCCAATAGCATAGTTATCTATTCTATTAACCTCCCAACGCAGTGTCACGGCTACCTCAACCGTCAAAGCTTTCGATCCCGTGAAGTAGGTTCCAATTCCTCCAACAGTCAAATACAATCTGATCCTGGTTACCTGCTTCTACTCCTCTGAATCCAGTTTCTCATGAGAATGTTCCATGTTCTACCGACCTTTCAGTCTTTCCAACAACTGCGTCTAGACCAAACCTAAAAGCAAACTCCAACATAAAGAAGGATCCGGCTATATAGTGTGGTTTAGACTCAACCATTCATTTATTGGCAGAGTCTGAATCATGTCATTAATAATTTTTTTAATATGTCAAAATTAAAAATTCATTATGTCTCATTATTTAAAAATTATATGTGTTTCTGAGTTAATTGTATCTCGTATTATTTAGCGTATAAAGTTAGTTATTAATATTATATATAAATAAATAAAAACAACAAATTTTAAATTAGCGTATAAAGTTAGTTATTAATATTATATATAAATAAATAAAAACAACAAATTTTAAATTTCACATTGTTAGATTATATGTATTGGTTATGTCTTTATACCACGAATTATCAAAATTTTAAAATAACAATTTTAAGATGTTTTAAATTTCAATGATTGCTAAAGAAATTATTGTTACTTCTGGCTGATGTCTTTGACAATCCGTTCAAATTTTAAAGAATCATTTCAAATGTTGGCAACGAAAAAATATGTGATTTTTTTAACCTTAAAAGAAACTTTCAATGTTTTAACTGATGACATTTTTGTTGTTTCTTCTAGATCAAAGAGCAAACTAACACTAAAAAAATCTATGAATTCAAATGGAATAATTATATCTAATGAATCTGAATATGCTGCACATATTAAAGAAAATGATATAGAGTTGAGGAAAGAAATTGCTTTATGAAAAGAGAACTATTATCTTTACAAAAGGCACTACAACATTTTATATATACAGCAACACAAAAAAACCGTTGCAAAATTCAAAAAAGTTGTTGCCTTTACATATGAGAACGGTTTTCAGGACGTTTTAAATCAATGTGTTGTTTTAGCCTTTACGAACGGTTATTTAGCCAACGGAAACGCCTTGTTCAAAGCCGTTGTTGTAATTTTATATAGAGAACGGTCTAGAACAGCAACGATTGGACTCCGTTTTCAAATTTAAACTGTTGCAATTGTTGTTTATTAGAAAACGGCTATTTTATGGAATATAGCAACGTATCTTAGCCGTAGCCTATTCTAAACCATTCTAATAGAGACTTAAGTTCATTTTTTCTTCATAGGTTATAACTACGCATTCTTTACTACAGACACACTTTATAACTGTTGCAAAAAAATTTATTTTATTTTATAAACCAAATAAATTTTTTTTTAATAAAATAAAATTTTATTTTATTTTATAAACCTGATAATAACATCATTCACAATTTTTTTATATAATAATATTCAAATACAAATTTTAAAATGATCTTGCATTTAAAAAAAATACATGACATAATCCATTTAAATATCATAATGTCAATTATTGATTCACAATCAACAAAACATCTTCAAATTGCATATCGTAATGTCAACAAAACATCTTCAAATTACATATCACAATGTCAATCATCATTCATAGTCAAAATAACATCTTTAATCTATAAAATTAAACTTAAACATCTACATCTCTACATCTACATTTCTTCATCTTCAAATTCAAAATCTTCATTGATATTATCATTCATGACCTGCAAAATAAAAATAATATAACTTGTTAGTTCCATGGTTCTATGATTGGCTAAATTTTGGTAAAACATGATCCTGCACTGATGTTAAGCAAGATGTTATAACATCTCCATCTGTTGTGGTGACAGAACTGATGTGGAGTGTTTTAATGTGAATGTCATGCTGAATATCGTGACATCCATCACGACATCCATTTGCTGTCATGACAGAACTACTGTCATGTGTGAGAAACAGCAGGAGTTGTGGTGTAGCAGGAGCTGATGACAGAACTGCTGTCATGGATGTCATTACCAATGTCATGATATCGCTACTGGTGCAGCAGGAGCTGATGACAGAACTATTGTCATGGATGTCATACTGAATGTCATGACATCAATGTCTGGTACAACAGGGGCTTCTATGTTATATCTCTTGACAGAAGTGTTTTGGTCCTGTTGGATATTCCTCATCAGTATGTACAGGCCTAAGAGAGTTATTAGAAACAAAGTGCAGATTTAATAGGTGTTCATAAAAAGGATCTTTGATACTTTTTAGGGAACTATAAAACATTTGTTTCTACTATCATGAAGAAGATTCTGCAGAAGTGTTCAGCAGGGCAAGCTGGAAAGCTAAGAGTAAGTAAAGTTGAATGTCATGACATTGGTCGTATGACATCAGGCGTGCAGGGTTTGTTTTTCTGTTATGATACCCGATATATCTCAGGCTAAATTTCAGGAAACCTGTTATGGCTTCTTAGTTATCTCAGGCGAGATTCTAGTCAGGGCTGGACATAACATGAAGTTGCTGTGACCTAATTTGACAACACCTTGAATTGTGGAAATTAGGTTTACTTTGTTAAACCTAATGTTTGTTACTTGTGACCAGCTCAAGCCCAGTCTGCAATGTTATAAAAGGAGGAGCAGAAGTAGAGGAAAGCAAGCACTCACATCAAGAAAAACCAGAGTGTAAAATAGAGGTCTAGGGTTTGAGAGTCCCTTGTGTGTAAGTCACCCTTTGTATCTTTTGATACATTGTGGTAGACATATTTGTGAGTGAAGAGTGGTGCTCCTCACGTGTGTTTTGTAAGTGGAGAAGTGATTATTCACGTGTGTAGGAGTCTTAGGATTCCTTGTGTGCCAAACAATTGTCTGCTGGATAATTGCATTGGTTTAGTGTGTATGAACTGTTGTGTTCATTGTCCTTGATTGAA